ATGATGCAGGACAGTTTGTCTTTGACTCAATATTTCTTCATCTCTGGCTTTTTATTTATTTCGCAAAACTCTGCCTGTATTTGTGTTCATCTAATACAGATTAGGGGAAATAATCTGCTCAATTCACCTCACAGAAAGCTGAGGAGACTTCATAAACCTTATTGTAAAGCGTGTCCAGCGTTCACACTCAAACACGCTCAGCGAAAGGCCTTTACTGCACTAATCTGGAAGCAAGAGAGAGAATAAACACTGATGATCTCCTCCTGATCAGTGTGTGTGTGTGTGTGTGTGTGTGTGTGTGTGTGTGTGTGTGTTTCTCCTGCGGTTGCCGAGTTTACACACAGTTTTTCCTTCAGTTCACATCTGTACCAAACACACACACACACACACACACACACACACACACACTTATATACATCTACACATTATTTATAGAAGCTAGGCTCACACATTACATAGACACATTGAGGAGTCACTGGTGTGTGAAGCAAAACACACACACACACACACACACACACACACACACACACACACACACACACACACACACACACACACACCTTCAGCTTCTACAGCACACAAGTCCAGCAGAATGAGAATATAAGTGAGCTGTGTGTGTGTGTGTGTGTGTTGTTATTGCTAAACGCATAGAAACCAAAGCAGAGTCAGACACACACACACACGCGCACACACACACACACTCCATCACCAGCATCAGTGTTGAATGTAGTGAGTGTGTGATCTGCTGCTGCTGCTGGAAGAGACTAAAGATGATCCTAACAATGCTGACGGCGATTCACTGCACCGCGGTAAACACAACAGCTACAGATATACGAGTGCTCACACTGCTGAAATACATGTGTGTGTGTGTGTGTGTGTGTGTGTGTGTGTGTGTGTGTGTGTGTGTGTGTGAGAGAGAGAAAGAGAGTGAGCGCATGTGTGAGTGTGTGGTTTTGTTTGCGTGAGTGTGTGAGTGAAAGTGTGTGTGTTTTTAAATGTGTGTGTTTGTAAGTGTGTGTGTGTTGGCAGGTCATCAGTTAGCATGTAAACCCGTAAATCAGACTATTTAAATGCATATCGGTGTGAATGTAAACAAAGTATAGACGTGTGTGTGTGTGTGTGTGTGTGTGTGTGTGTGTGTGTGTGTGTGCTGATTAGCAGTGAGGTGATCCTCTTCACCTCCTCCAGCAGCGGTGTAGATCAGTGTGTGTATGAGCAGTTGTGAGTGGTCTCCTCCACTGAATGAGCACTTGCTCTTGTTAATCCGTCCTTCATCTGGAGCTGAATGCAGGCTGCAGACGTGTGTGTGTTCAGCGTGAGCAGAGCAGTGCACGAGTCTGCAGGAGATCAGTAAAGCTGCACTGGTCTACACACCTTCTGAACAGCGTCCGCACGCTCTCGTCCTGCAGGCTTGCTGACACTGTCCGCCCGCTGCTACATGAGTGTGTGTGTGTGTGTGTGTGTGTGTGTTGGCTTTTATACAGTACATGTGAACGCTTGGTCCCATAAGAGTTTCAGCAGAGTTGCTCGTGTACATTCGCTTAGAAAAAGTCGCCACGATGTGTTGTAAAAGCTATGGCTTAGTAAAGTTTGCTATATTGAGCCACACTAGCGCTCAGACGCTGGGAGACTGCAGGAGTTCTGTTCACTGAAACTGCCGTTATCTGATCTGAAACCCAGCTGAACTGTGACGCATCACTGCAGCTTTAGAGAAGTGCGCTCTTATTGAATGAGCTTCATATTTCATTCATTCCTGCGACTCAACGCTGAGTTCTGCTCTTCTGTTCATGTCTGGATATGTTAAGCTCGGCTGTTACTGGTGGAAAATCACTAAATCACTAAATCATCATCAGAGCTGAAAAGACTTTTAGGATTCTTTAATAAAAGGTTAAACACAAAAGCTTATAGTGATTTATATGTGTGAACTCATTTCAAGAGGATCACGTGCTTATGATTGACCACAGCCGGTGCTGCATCAGCTCATCATGATCCTCCAATCATATGATGCCTACGTTACTCTAAATAACCCCAGTCTTCATTACACATCGTCTTTGTCTAGAACCGGCATGTCCAAGCTCGGTCCTGGAGGGCCGGTGTTCTGCAAAGTTTAGTTCCAACCTCAATCAGGCACACCTGGGCTAGCTAATCAAGCTCTTACTAGGCGTTCTAGAAACATCCATGCAGGTGTGTTGAGGCAGGAATCTGCAGGGCACCGGCCCTCCAGGACTGAGTTTGGACACTCCTGGTCTAGAAGAAATCCCTCCTTCATCTCCTTCATCCCCCTTTTTTCTCCTAGATTGGGTGGCACGGCAGCCCAGTGGTCTTGAATTTGCAATCTTTTCTTTTTTTACATTATATATATATATATGCATTTAAATGTTGTATATGTATTTACTCATTTTACTTTTAGGATTCTTAACAAAAGAAACAGTTCAAAAGAAAAGCTTTCATTTCCAGTTTAGTTTTGACAGTAAATATGCATGTTTTAAACATATTATAGCTGTATTTATAATAAAAATATTGATATTATTCACAAAAGCTCTCATTTTAAACTGTTTAACAAAGAATCATAAATGTATAACAGATTGCACAATACTATGAAGCAAACAAACATATATTAAAATCTGAAAATGACGAGGATCATTATTATTATTTAGTAGTATTAATAATCATTCATTCACTCATTCTCCTTCAGCTCAGTCCCTTATTCATCAGGGGTCACCACAGCGGAATGAACTGCCAACTATTCCAGCATATTTTACACAGCGGATGCCCTTCCAGCTGCAACCCAGTACTGGGAATCACTCATACACTATGGCCAGTGTAGTTGATCAGTTCCCCTATAGCGCATGTGTTTGGACTGTGGGGGAAACCGGAGCACCCGGAGGAAACCCACACCAACACGGGGAGAACATGCAAACTCCACACAGAAACACCAACTGATCCAGCCGAGACTCAAACCAGAGAGCTTCTTGCAGTGCTAACCACTGAACCACCAGCGTTGAATCACAGAGATGAATGAACACTGAAGCACACTCAATAATAAATCCGTTCTCTAAGAAGCTCACAGCTCTACAGCACCTCTGCTCCTCCTCAGTGAACATTATCTGCTACTAAAGCATGAGGGAATCCTCCTGTGTTGTGGTAGTGTGCTCCGCCCCCTGTGGCCGTGTTCCAGTACTGCAGCCGCAGTGCATGCTGGGATGAGGAGGTCTGACGGTTGTAGCGTCTGCATCAGCACTGCATCATGGGAAGGATGAGGAGCAGAGCGGATGGACATGGCACCGGCGGGTGTGCATAAGAGACGGTGGTCTGCTGGACCGACCGCACGGCGCGAGGGTCCGTGGTTGGTTGGTTGTTGGTTGGTTGGTTTGTTGGTTTGAAGCAGTGGCACTTTCTGGTTACACCTGGCTTGGAAGGCATGGTTGTCGTCGTATTTGTTGTAGCAGAGCAGTAAAAATATAAAGTCGATCGCTTCATCTATATTGCATATGTGTCACAGCATGTGTGTGTGTGCGCTAGACTGAATGAGGTCGGGTCCAGTTTCCTGCTCAACACCGGCTCATTGGAGATTCACGCACAGGGGTGTGTTTGATTGGGGGATATGTGCTCAGGGTGGCGTCTGCTTGAAGGTTTTGACCAGACTCTGGTCATTTCTCACAATCTCAATTATGTCACGAGGTCATGTTTGCTCGTATATGCACAAGTCCACTGGGTGCTGCTATCTACAATTTCCGCAAATCCTGAATACGCTGCTATTGGCCCACATTTTCTCCTAAGTGCAACTCTTCATTATTCCAATAGAGGGCGCCAAGTACATTTTTGACAACTTCAAGTGCGTCACTGGGCCATGTTTACTCGTATGCAGGATTTTTCGTGAATCCACTAGAGGTCGCCATATGTCAGTTGCCACATTTGCTTATTTTTGCAATTTTTCGTCAATCCACAAGAGGGCGCTGTGTACATTTTCTGCAAATCTCAAACACATCACTTGGCCATGTTTACCTGTACGTGTAATTTCTCATAACTCCACCAGAGGGTGGCATGTACGTTTTTGACATCTCAAATGTCATTAAGCCACATTTGCTCGTACATGCTGTTTCTCGCAGGTCCACTAGAGGCTGCTCGTGTATATTTCTGCCAATCTTAAATATGCCGCTAAGTTATGTTTTCTCATATGTGTAATTTCTCGTAAATCCATTAGAGGCCGCTGTGAGCACTTTTGACAATCTCATTTACGTCATTGGGTGATGTTTACTTATTGTACGTGACATTTATACGTCCTCCTACAGTGCTCCGCATGTTGAGTACAGCCCGTTTTGAAAGTTAATATTTTGCTGCATTTCTCAGTGAATATAGGCGATGTGTTTTGCTGCATTTAAACAGATTTATTAAACAGATATATTTATTAAAGTAATATTTTAGTCACCAAACGTAATTAGAAATTGAAAATTAATACAATTAAATTCAAGCAAAATACTGCAATCCAGCTTAATTTTCCATTTTTTTTACTTCTCTTGATTTTTCAATTTGTTTTAAATATTTTTTTATAACATATAAATTTGGCTGTATTATTTTTGGATGGTTATCGTAAGTTATCTCTTTAGATAAGCTCTAGATTTGGCTTCGGTACTGACTAATCTCATGTATATGCACAAATATAACATTGTAGAGCTTCCCATTGATCATGAATTTGGATAGATTAGTAAGGGGTGTGCGCATATATGCTGAGCACTGCATATGAGTTTTCGCCTCCCCCACCCCTTCCCTAAACCCAAAATTGGTAGTGTTGTCAAAAGCAAACTAGAAGAGAGAAGTGCATTGTGGATGTGTGATTTTACCACAATTTCACACTGCTTTACTTTTGGGTTTTGTTTTTCCTGCTTTCTGACACTGTCCTTCACCGGATTTGAACCCTGGTCTACTCTGCGCCCCAAGTCTGACACCATACAAGGTGAGCTACTGAGCAAACTGACCGCTCCGGAAAGCTCCTCCATATGGAGGCAAGCGGTCAGTGGTAGTTTGGAAAGGAACAGAAGCTTTAGTTTTAGGATGTATGCCAGGGCACATATTTAACAATCTCCAAGCACGTGCCCCTGTTGACGAATCCCCAATGAGTCGGTGTTGTTGTTTTTTTTTGCAAAAATAAAGAAAAACCTGAAGAACTGCAGTGAGAAGCTCAAACACAAGGTGCAAAAGAAGGTCCCACAGAAATCAGTTTTTCTGCACACAAACCCGAGCTGGAGTCCGGAGGCTAGAAACTGGAGATCCGCCGCCGCCGCTGTGCTGCTGATGCAGTCCGTGTGAACAGCGTTTCCCAGAATGCTCGGCGAGGATCTACATCTTGATTCCCTCCTGCTGGCTGAGCTGGGAAAGAGTCTTCTTGATGCGCAGCGCCGTCAGTCGAGCCGCTCCGTTAGCGTACCAGCACTCCCGCATGATCTTAGCCATCACACGCAGAGCCTGCACACACACACACACACACACACACACACACACACACACACACACACACACACACACACACACACACACACACACAGACACACACACAGACAGAGAGGTTTGTTTTGTGAATTGTGTGTAAGTTTCACAGGTTTCCTTTGTTTTATATTGTACAGACTGTATGTTATATTGCTCCACATCTACTCCACCCTTACAGGAGACTGTGCAGCCTCACTCTCTGAAAGTAAGATTGACTGATACGCCTGCTGAAAATGCAGACATCAGCAATGTGTAAACATTCATCACCATCTCCTGTGATACCTGCCATACACATCTGTGTCCTGATATATCACACACACACACACACACACACACACACACACACACACACACACACACTCTTGCCAGATATGTACACACACACACACCTAGAGCTTCTTTCTTCTGTTGAACACTGAAGGAGATATTTTGAAGAATGCTGAAAACCGGTAACCATTGACTTAGTATTTTTTTCTTACTATGGAAGTCAATGGTTACCGGTTTTCAGCATTCCTCCAAATATCTCCTTTAGAGTTTAATAATGTCTGGTTTTGAAGGGAACTGTCTCTTTAAATAATTAATAAACACAACACATCAATAACAGTAGATATTGGCTCTTCAAATATGACCTGATGGCATATTTGAAATAAAGCAGTGTTTAATAATCCTCCCGGGTGGTGGAGCGACTGAAACACTGTAAACAGGCGACGTCTCTGGGGTAAACAGCGCTAATGAGCAGAGTAAATATGGGTAAATGAGCTGTTGTAGAGAGAGACCGCTTCACCTCCTGCTGTTCACTCTAATGTCAGATCTGTGAGCAGCTTCATCATGTGACACGAGTGTGTCCAAACTGATTTACTGAACAGCTCCATCAGCAGAAGAAGAGTCTGACCACCAAACATCCTCAGGAATGGACAGATCCTACAGCTACGTGTGGTGTGTGAGTGTGTTTTGTGCTGTAAATGGTGTTGTCTGTGTGTGTGTTTGGGCTGTAAGTGGTGTGTGTGTGTGTGTGTTTGGGCTGTAAGTGGTGTGTGTGTGTGTGTGCATGTGTGTGTTTTTGTGCTGTAAATGTTGTTTGCATGTGTGTGTGTGTGTGTGTGTGTTTGTGCTCTAAGTGGTGTGTTTGTGTGTTTTGTGCTGTAAATTTTGTGTGTATGTGTGTGTGTGTGTATGTTTGTGCTCTAAGTGGTGTGTGTGTGTTTGTGTTTTTTTACTGTAAGCAGTGTATTTGTGCTTTAAGTGGTGTGTGTGTGTGTGTGTGTGTGTTTGTACTTTAAATGGTGTGTGTGTGTTTGTGTTCTTAGTGGTGTGTGCGGTGTTTGTTGTAAATGGTGTGTGTGTATGTGTGTGCTCTAAGTGGTGTGTGTGTTTGTGTTTTTGTACTGTAAGCGGTGTTTATGAGTTTTAAGTGGTGTGTGTGTGTGTGTGTGTTTGTAAGTTGTATGTGTGTATATGTGTTTTGTTGTGTGCTTTAAGTAGTGTGTGTGTTTGTGTATTATTTGTGCTTTAATTAGTGTGTGTGTGTGTGTGTGTGTGTGTGTGCGCGCATGTGCGTGTCTGTGTTTTTGTGCTGTAAATGGTGTGTGTTTGTGCTGTTAGTGGTATGTGTGTGTGTTTGTGCTGTTAGTGGTATGTGTGTGTGTTTGTGCTGTAGATGGTGTGTGTGTTTGGTGCTTTAAGTTATATGTGTGTGTGTTTTTGTTGTAAGTGGTTTGTGTGTGTGCGTGTGTGCGTGTGTGTGTGTGTGTGTGTGTGTGTGTGTACCTCGCAGCTCTGCCATCTGTTGGGGATGTTTGGCCTCAGTTTCTGTTCACACACCACCCTCCGCATCTCCTCCACTGACGGGTCTGACTGGACCAGATCATGATACGGCAGCTGATAATCTTCATGAATACCTGCAACGATTACAGCACAAACCACAATCAATAATCAATAATCAATCAGCATAATGAACATAACATAAAATCCTCTACAACATCTACATCATGGCGAGTTTATAATGACGTAGCTTCCAAATTAAAAGTCCCCATGCTTAATAAACCCCATTAACCACAAGAGGATCTCCTCCATACCTCCGATAGAGCAGCGGCTGGCGATCTCCCAGAACACCAGGCCCATGGCGTAGATATCAGCCCTCTTGAAGGACTCGAAATGCTTCATGTTTATGGAATCATCCAGCACTTCTGGAGCCATATACCTGCACACACACATCCAGATATGACTATACTGCACGACACAGCAGAGCATTATGAGCCAGATGAGGGACACTCCAGCTTATTGTGACTGTGAGTTTCTGAAAGGCTTTCACACAACATAACTGAGCCTGACAGGAGAGACAGCATGACAATAAATCAATATGCAATTAAAACTAAATTACAAAAGCACAGCGGGCCTGACCTGTACAATAATACTGCACCTCTCCTGCATTTACTTCTCTACTTGATTATAAATGACACTGTTTTACTAATGAACCCAATTAGAGCAACAATGCCAACAAACACAAACACCTCTGAGTTTATTTCAGTAGAGTCTGTCCTGCAGCAAAATGACCACACTTCTGCATTAAAGCAGATCTCAAACAAAGCAGAGGCTTCCAACACACACAAAGCACAAACATGTCTAATTTATCTAGAGTTATTATTATTTTATTATTATTATTATCATTATTGTTTTATAATTATTATTATTATCACTATTATTATTATTTTAATATTATTATCATTATTATTTAATTATTATTATTATTATTATCATTATTAATATTATTTTAACATTATGATCATTATTATTCTAATTATTTTAACATTATTATCATTATTATTTTATAATTATTATCAACATAATTATAATTGTCACTATTATTATTATCATTATTATTATCAATATTATTATCATTATCATTATTATTATTATTTTAACATTTCATCATTATTATTTTATAATAATAATAATTATTATTATTAATATTATTGTTATTATTTTAACATTGTTATCATTATTATTTTATAATTATTATTATTATCATTATTATCAATATATTTCATTATTATCATTATTATTTTAACATTATTATTAATATTATCAATATTATTTCATTATTATCATTATTATTATTTGAACAATATTATCATTTTTATTTTATTATTATTATCATCATTATTTTTATTATTATTATTTTAACATTATTATTTTTTATTATTATTATTATCGTTATTTTTATTAATATTATTTTAAAATTATTATCATTATTTTTATTATTATTATTATTATTATTATTATCATTATCTGCTATTATTATCTGTGCTTGACCACAAAACTAGCCACAATTGTAATTTTTAAACATAATAAATAAATAAAAATAGTTAAATAAATAAAGCAAAAAGACAGCCAAACTGATTCCCATTAATGTATGATAAGTTAGGACTATATCTGGCTGAGATCAGATGTGCTGTGAGCTGTTTATACAGCTTTTTGGCGTGACTGATGCTCTCTTTATAGCAGTTATTGTATATCCAGTGTTTTGAGCTGCTCTGACTCCAACTCCAGCTGTGCTTAAGGCATTATATGCAGCATCCTTCATTTATTCTCTGAGGCAAGGAGAGATCTCCACTGAACTATCATACGTAGAGGGAAAAGTGCTTTATGCATTATAGAGCTTGAAGCATGAGAATGAGTCCTCAGTATTGGCCGATCACCATGACAAAGAATTGGTACTGCGAAAATCCTGATCGCAGCTTCCCTATATAACACACAACATAACCTAACCTAACCTAAAATAACACAACACAACACAACAGCTAACATGACATCATATAACCACTTTAGTGTGGTGATGTCATTGGCCATGAACACTCCTGCTTGTTTTCTCTCTAACTCTAACAAGAGGCAATTCAATCATATCTTCATATTTAAACAGCTCTCATAACATCATTTATCAATATGGGGCTCTTTTTGGATTCTCTGAAGCTTTGCAAATTAAAACTGTAAAACACGTTGAGACCCTTGTCTTTGTTTACATTCCTCAAAATGGTCTGAAACCTAACCGAACCTACCATGTGACCAGCGTAACAGAATAAAATAAGAGGAGGGTAATGAACCCGGGACAGTCTCAGTGCTGATGATCTTTACTCTAATCTTTAATCTCCATCCTCCTCCTCCAGCTGTGACTGACCGTTTGGTGCCGACTCTGTGATTGGGAGCGATGTCGATGGTGTCGGTGGCGGAGTCGTGCCGGACGGCCAACCCCAGGTCTGCAATACAGCATGTGCCGTTCTTCTTCACCAGGATATTCTTAGACTTCAGATCCCGGTGGGCGATCGCAGGCTTCCCTGAGCACACACACACACACACACACACACACACAACAGCAGCGGTTACAAACAATGACCTTATTTCAGTCTCCATTACTCCATCTGCCCTACAGGACCTGAAGGAGAACACACAGGAGCTGAATTACTCTGCAATACATAACAGTTTTGATAACTGATGTATTTAGTCTCCGCCATGATGACAGCACAGAATACTCGACTAGTTACTCTGTGAGATACCAGTATTCAGCTTAAAGTGCAGTTTAAAGATTTAACTATGGTAATTAGGGTAATCAGGCAAGTCGTGTGAATATTGAGTAGGGGGCGGGGTTTATTTTTAAGCTCCGCCTTTTATCTTTCACTCGCAGCACACTAATGATTGCAGGGGCGTGGCTAAATAAATATTTCGCCCAATCAGAGTCTATTAAAGACGAATAAATAAGAACAAAAGAGTTTTATCAGTATAATGATCGACTGATTCACCGGAATGTCAATGTTGACTTCATGCACTCTTCAAATATAATATCTCGAAGTCTAGAGGAGGCTCAGTTGTGCATGAATCAGAGCTCTTGATGGACGTCTAGACTCGCTGATGTTCATCAGAGTATAACAGAGTCTGCTCGGTGTTGTTTGTGGTACTGTGAGCTTCATTTAGCGCAGCTCTGGCTTTATTACACTGCTATAATTGAGACATAATGGTCCATTACACAGAGAGAGTCACGACAGGCTCAATCCCACACGCTCCGCTGTAGCATTACAGAAGAAAGTGTTCATTAGTTCTACAGTAATGCACTACAGTCGAGTGTGCTGAGATTAAACACAGCCCGTCTGTGGTATAGACATGAGGTGTGCTGGAGTCAGAAGGTGCGGCTGCTGTTCTCAGTCAGACCGCCTTTATCTTCACCATGGTGGACGCTGGTCAAAACAGCCAAAAGCTATAAGTGTAATGTATATCAGTGATTTTCAGCATCATTACTGCAGTCTACAGTGCTCATGATCCTGCAGAAATCACTCAGATATGATGATCAATACACATGTATGATTATTACCAGTGTTAAAAACATGTTTCTGCCTCACAACCACAGACAGATCAGTGAATGACACATGTAGCCTAATAAACACATGTAAACATCACTTCTGTATTCATACTGCCGGCTTTCAAAATATTAAAGAAGGATTTGTTTTTAATAATAATAATGAACTCCACCAAGGTTTGGGAGGTTAACTCGTTTAATCTTTAATTTGCCATGCTGTAGAAAAGGTGGAATGATCTGAGATTCTTCATAAGTCTTTTATTTACATCGTTATATTAATATTATCATATTACCATTCATATCATCAATCTAAAGAAGCCTGCACGGACATAACAAATCACCAACTGAACAAACTAATTAAATTAAAAACAGTTAAATAAATGAATGAATGAATGAATGAACAAAAACAAAGTAATGCACAATTATTGGATGAACGAATGAATGAATAAATGAACAGTTGAACAAATAGACAAACAAATGAATGAATGATGAATTAAAGAATAAATGAACAGTTGAAAAAATGAATGAATGAATGAATAGATGAATGAATGAAAGCATGGATAAAAATATGAATAAACAAATGAACTAATAAATGAACAGTTAATGGATGAATGAATGAATGAATAAGTTAAAGTGCTAAACAAATAAACAAGCAAATGAATGAATGATGAATTTATAAATGAATAAATTAATGAAAGCATGGATTTAAAAAAATATATGAATGATTAATAGATGAATGAATGAATGAACAGTTTGAACGAAAAAAGAAAAAAATATTAAATAATGAAATAAAGAATGATTAAACAGTTGAATGAATGAATAAATGAATGAATGAATGAAAGCATGGATAAAAATATTTTTACAAATAAAGTAATGAATGAATGAATGGTTAATGAACGAATGAATGATTAAGTTGAACTGTTGAACAAATAAACAAGCAAATGAATGAACGATGAATTTATAAATGAATAAACAAATTAATGAATGAATAAATGAATGAAAGCATGGATTTAAAAAAATATGAATGATTAAAAGATGAATGAATGAACAGTTTGAACGAATAAAGGAATGAATGATTAAATAATGAAATGAAGAATGAATGAACAGTTGAATGAATGAATGAGTAAACATGAACAAAAACAAAGTAATGAACAATTATTGGATGAATGAATGGATGAATAAATGAACAGTTGAACAATTAGACAAACAAATGAATGAATGATGAATTAAAGAATGAAGGAACAGTTGAAAAAATGAATGACTGAAAGCATGGATTATAAAACGAATGAATGAACAAATTAATGAATGATTAATGGATGAATGAATGAATGAATGAACAAAAGCTGAATGAATAAATGAACACATGAATGAACATTTGATAGAATGAATGAACAGTTAAATAAATGAATAAATTATTGAACAAAGATTTAAATGAATGAATGAATGAATGGGCGTACCCTGTGTGCCGACGATCTCCATGTGCAGGTGAGCGAGGCCGCTGGCGGTGGACAGGGAGAGTTTGATCATCCCCTCTACAGTCACTGTGTAGCGGTTCAGGTAATCGAACAGAGAACCGTGCTCATGATAATCCGACACCAGCCACAGCTGAGTCCACGTGCCGTTATCTGGAGGGAGGAAACACACACACACACACACACACACACACGTTAGTCAATCACTCCCTTCCACAGGTGAAATAAAGCCTCTATAAGGACATTCTGCTAAACTCTTAAATCTTCTCCAGGAACTGTTTTCCAGATTTACGAACTATTCAGGATGTCAGAGAGCTGCTGAGGGCTGATCAACCCCAGCTATTCATCACAGCCTACAATTATCTCAATTTTGAAAGTATAATGATGATAATGACGAGGTCCCGCCTCCCCCTGGCCTCTACCCATGATGCCCCAGTGCTGCTGACCTTTGTTGTCTGCGGCGATGAAGCCCAGGATGTTCTCGTGTCTCAGCATGACGGTCTGGTAGATCTCGGCCTCCCGGAACCAGGAGCGCTCCTCTCTGGAGGAGAAGATCTTCACCGCCACCTCCTCTCCTCTCCAGCGGCCGCGCCACACCTCCCCGAACCGGCCCTTACCGATGCTCTCCTGCAGGATGATGGTGCGAGCGATCGTACGCTGCACCAGCAGAGGCAGACCTGCGGGAGCACACACACACACACACACACACACACACACACACACACACACACACACACACACACACACACACACACACACACACACACATTATCATCATCATCAGAACACAAACACATACATTAGCATCAGGATACACACATCAGAACACATCAGAACACACACACACACACACACACACACGCACACACACGCACAGGGGTTGGACAGTGAAACTGAAGGTCTGGTGTTAGAGGACAGTAGTGGATCAGTCTGGTGACCAAACACAAGTCACACACACACACACACTCAAACACCCATATTCAAATACACTCAAACACACCTCACTCAAATTCACACAACCCAATACACACACACAGGTCTCTACACACACGCATAAACAAACACAGACACACAAATGTGCACACACACATTCATATAAAGAGAGAGAGAGAGAGTGAAGGATTAAGAGCCACAAACCAGACAACAGAGAGAAAAGCAGACACACACACACACACACACACACACACACACACACACACACACACACAAAGGGCGCAGGTGTTTGCAAAGACAAACAGCAATTATATGAAACAAACATAAAGCAAGAACAACAAGAATCTCCTGAATGTGTGAATCAGATATCTGTGTAAGTGTGTGTGTGTGTGTGTTTGACACACTAGAGCTGGAGCCAGACGTGGTCATGTCATAGATCAGGTCTTAAGAGTGTGTGTGTGTGTGTGTGTGTGTGCATGGGTGTGTGTGTTTGTGTGTCGCATTAGAGCTGGAGCCAGATGTGGTCATGTCGTAGATCAGGTTTTTTGAGTATGTGTGTGTGTGTGTGTGTGTGTGTGTGTGTGTGTGTGTGTGTGTGTGTGTGTGTGTGTGTGACGCACCGGAGCCAGATCCAGATGTGGTCATGTCATAGATCAGGTCTTTGAGTGTGGTGCCCACAGTGATGAAGGGGTGGTCCAGGGACGGGTCCTCCTCGCTGGGCACGCGGTGGTGAATGACGGAGCGGCTGTGGCAGATGTAGAAGACGGTGACCATCAGGAAACACAGCACACACACCGGCCCCGCGATCAGCGCTGCGAACGCCACGGGCCCCAGAGCGGGAGGCTTCTGCGTCGGCACTACACACACAAACAGAACCAGGACGTACAATTACTACATTTAATAATACAGCGGGGAACATGAGTATGGACTTCTCTCAGAAAACATCTCTCTAAAGGTGCTGCTGACTTCAAATGTTCACCAGAAACACCAGCAGGATGATGAAGATCAAACCACTGATGCTTTCAGAGAGAGAGAAAATCCATCTGTAGAATGGCCCAGCCAATCACCTGATCCGAACCCAATAGAGAATACAGAATAAAGCTCAGATCTGATAGACGAGACCCACAGAAGCATCAAGATTTACACACTCTGATGAAGACTGAGAGAAACTCACACCTGAGCACTGCATGAGGCTTCAGTCTCTATGTGCGAGGCGTCTTTAATGGTCTAGATCAGGGATGTCAAACTCAATTTCTGGAGGGCCGCAGCCCTGCACAGTTTAGTTCCAACCCTGCTTACCTGTAGGTAACACACACTGTAGGTTTCAAACAAGCCGAAGGATTAGTTTGATCAGGTGTGTTTAATTAGGGAGGAACTAAACTGCGTAGAGCTGCAGCCCTCCAGGAATTCAATTTGACGTCCCTGATCTAGAAGCCTCATCTACTAGCGGAGAATAAACTCGTTATTTCTGTTTATCACCTCTGTTCTGCAACTGTGTGTCATGTAGAATAATTTCACAAGCTCAACACACTGCTTTTACTTCGCATTTTAAATAAACAATCGCTCCAGCCAGCTAATATATGTTGCTTCTAATGCCAATAAATGCACTACAGTCTGTGATACAGCAGATACACTCCTGGTTGAGTCTGTCATAGTTTTCTTGTTTCTAGTTTAATAAAGCAGAAACAAATCAAGCATCAGAATAAAGCCTGTGCTTCTGCTTTCACATCATGAATGAGAGGACAGAGTGAATGAGTGCTAAATGAGTGGTGGACACTCAAACACATCCACTCACTCTTCACTAATCCAGGACTATATTATCAGAGATGAGATTATACACTCAGTTTAAGAGCAGAAGCAGGCCGTGAGCTCAGAGATGCAGAAAGAGTTCTCCAGGTATGTTCAGAGCGCAGCAACCAAACCACAGAGGAACACAGACAGTAAACACTGAGTCACGCTCCGCTCCGCATGCCTCACATTTCTGCTCAAGCCCAGCAAAACTATTATTAACTGGGAAATGAAGCCGTTCCCACAGAAGAGCGTCTAGACTTCAGACAAATCGTTCCTGTACAGCGCAGACACATGAGGAGAAACTGTTCACACTCACAGAGCAGAGTTTCTCCAGCACAACAGACGAGAGGCTTTACTGAAACACACTGCAGACTGAGCTCAGAACACCACACAGATGAAGAAAACCTACCCTGCACCCCTCCTGCGGAATCTGACATTCTTTCCCAGATATTTCTCAAGTGCTGTTTAACAGAGCTGAGCAATGACATTAATCACAGTGTTTCCTATTATATATTTCTTCTGGAGGAAAACGTGTTTCTGTTAGTTTAACTGCAACTTTTTTACAGGACTGATAGCCCCGCCCAAAAGCACTGACAGTCACGCCCTAAAGAACTGATAGCCCCGCCCTAAAGCACTGACAGTCACACCCTAAAGCACTGATAGCCCCACCCTAAAGCACTTACAGTCACACCCTAAAGCACTGATAGCCCCGCCCTAAAGCACTGACAGTCACACCCTAAAGCACTGATAGCCCCGCCCTAAAGCACTGACAGTCACACCCTAAAGCACTGATAGCCCCGCCCTGAAGCACTTACAGTCACACCCTAAAGAACTGATAGCCCCGCCCTAAAGCACTTACAGTCACACCCTGAAAGACTGATAGCCCCGCCCTAAAGCACTGACAGTCACATCCTAAAGAACTGATAGCCCCGCCTTAAAGCACTGACAGTCACATACTAAAGAATTGATAGCCCCGCCCTAAAGCATCCTAAAGAACTGATAGCCCCGCCCTAAAGCACTGACAGTCACGCCCTAAAGAACTGATAGCCCCACCCTAAAGCACTGCCAGTCACATCCTAAAGAACTGATAGCCCCGCCCTAAAGCACTGATAGTCCCGCCCTGAAGTACCAGTAATCGCACCCTAAAGCACAGATAGTCTCGCCCTTAAGTACCAATAGTCCCACCCTAAACAACTGAAATTTCCGCCCTAAGCACCAACAGCCCCGCCTTAAAGCACTGACAGTCCCGCTCTAAAGTACCAATAGTCCCCCCCTGAAGCACCAATTGTCCTGCCCTAACGCACTGATAGCCCTGGCCTAAAGTATTGATAGTGTACCTGGGAATGCTTTGATGTCGGGGTCCTTGTTGCACCAGTCGGTGTCGCAGCAGAGCGGATAGATGCCGCTGTTGTCTTTAGTGGACGGTGCGCAGACGAAGGGGCGGTCGGGCGGGACCAGCTCCCCCTTACCGATGCACCAGCTCTGCTGTGTGGTCAAGCTGCCCGCGCGGGTGATGGACACGTAACACAGCCCGTCCGTCGTACACGTGTGGTTCGGGCAGCGGTGGCAGTAGCACTGTAGACCTGCACACAAACACACACACAAACATGACTCTCACAAGCTCACGCTGACTAACACACAGCTCTGAGATGAAGGTCTGCACGGGTCTTCTGCTGGCAGCACAGCTCTGCTTGTGATCATGGTATACAGTATTGTCATCACATTGAGCCATTGTGCATCAGCTCAGTACAGGAGTTTTATTCTGATATTCAACAAACACAAAATGCTGGTATAAGTCATCCCGAAAAAGCAAAAGGCCAAATAAAAAAGCCGATAGTGTATTCAGATTAATTGTAAAGAGAATTGATGATCAGAATAACAGCCTAATCTACTGTGAGGCTTTAGTGCTGAGCTGTGTAAACGATCTGCTGTAGCGTCCAGCATTAGCAGAGCGTGATTAGCATGTGTGCGCTGGTCAGTGTCTGAGCGTCTGTCTGTCCATCCAGAAACTGCCCTCCATCTGCAGCACTGGGTCACCTCAACAACCCCAGACGACCCAGACACACACACACACACACACACACAACCAACCACTCCTGCCAAAATCAAGACTAACCACATAGAAATATGCAAATGTATGCAAATGACTGGCAAATGTATGCAAATGACATCACATACAGGCTCATATTTGGATTTCACATATATAAATGACTTATATCATATTCACTACATACATGACCATTGGTAACACACACACGTGCACACAGTCTGTTGCCCGAGCAGTGTTGCGGTATGTCTGTGTGTATATGTATGTGTGTGTGTGTGTGTGTGTGTGTGTGTGTGATCTACATGCTGCACACACAGTTCAGACAAGGTGATCTCCGCTTCTGTCCTACTTCGTCACACAGACACACACACACACACACACACACACACACACACACACACACACACACACACACTGGCCTTAAAACAAACTAGTTTGTCTGCAGCCAAATTGAAACCGGAGAGTCTGTTCACAAGGATCACACACACACACACACACACACACACACACGCACGCACACACACGCACACACACACACAACTTAATGGACTATAATCAAATGATTTTGTGTTGTTTTGTGCACAAGAATTCTGTTGTAGCTTTATAAATCACAGTTGAACCATATAACAACAATTAATTGACAGAAAAACAAACCCTTTAATATATAATAATAATAATAATGTTATTAATAATAATATTAATACCAATAATATTAATAATAATAACAACATTAATAATAATAATAATAATAATAATAATAATCACAACAATATTAATATTAATAATAAAAGTCAATAATAATAACAATACTACTACTACTAATAATGATAATATTGATAATAATAATAATATTATTGTTAATAATAATATGAATAGTAATAATGTTAATAATACTAAAAAATATTAATAATAACAATATTAACAATAGTAATAGTAATAATAATAATATTTATAAAAACAATAATATTATCAATAATAAGAACAGTAAAGAATATTTTAATATGAATAATAATGTCAATATTTATGTTAATAATAATAATATAACATATATAATAATAATGCCTACATGTATAAACTGTATTAGTGTGTATAATACTGTGATCTAGCACTGATAGAGAACTCCTCAGAGCAGATCAGCTTCAGCAGACGGCTGTAATGTGTGTATCGGTGTGTTTAGAGGAAACATCAGCGTCACACAGGAAGAGGAAGTGAGGGCGGGACTGAAGGCAGACTGAGAGAAACCACATGCTGCACTGAGAACAGCAGAGCGGCACTCTGAGAGTCTAGACGGACTCAACACGTCACACACTCAGAGCTGCAGAGGAACACACACATATCTTACACACACAGGAATGCACACACGCAGACAGAAACACGTCAGCATGTCTGGCAGCTGACTGTGTGTCGGTACACAAGTAGTTCTGCGGAGACTGAGACAGACAGGAAACACTTCCAGAGTAATGTTGGACTCTGAGACGGCCAGAACACACTCTACAGCTGACACACACACACACACACACACACACACACACACACACACACACACACACACACACACACACACACCCTCCAGCAGAACTCCATCACCATGGCAACCGTCAAATAAAGGCTGTCAGAGCAGGAATGGCTTTGCAATCAGAGTTTCTGTCAGAAGAAGGTCTCTGGTTTGAGTCTCGGCTGGGTCAGTTGGTGTTTCTGTGTGGAGTTTGCATGTTCTCCCTGTGTTGGCGTGGGTTTCCTGAGGGTGCTCTGGTTTCCCCCACAGTCCAAACACATGCGCTATAGGGGAACTGATCAACTACACTGACTGTAGTGTATGAGTGTGTGTGTGTGTGTGTGTGAATGAGTGTGTATGGGTGTTTCCCAGTACTGGGTTGCAGCTGGAGTGGCATCAACTGTGTAAAACATATGCTGTTATAGTTGGCGATTCATTCCGCTGTGGCGACCCCTAATGAATAAGGGACTCAGCTGAAGGAAGCTGACTGAATGAATGATCACACCATGATAAACAGGTAACAGGTGTTTCTCTGAGCTAACTGAATTAAATAAACGCTCACAGTGCACTTATCTAGAATTATTCAGCAGGACTGAGTGAAACCTGTGTGGATATTCAGAGTGTGATTGTGATTTTCCAGCAGTAGTGTTGATTAATGTCAGTAAGCAGCTCCTGCTGGACTTGATGAAGACAGTAATGATCAGATGTGAATAAACAACACATGCATGCAGCATCGAGACGCTTGACACATGAAACTGACTGAACTGATTGCACTTCTCTGTGATATTGCATGTATTATAATGATGTTAATGATCATTTTAGATATATTGTGCAGTAAACACACACTGCTGTGCAAAGGTGACCAGCAGACGCATTACAATTGCAGTGCAGAGCGGCAGGATTATCCTCCTCCACTTGTTTAAAAAAGAAAAGCATTGAAAAGCAGAGGACGTGTATGAAATGTAAACCATTGAACACCGAGAGTGCTTCCTACAGCTTGAGGAACAGTCAGCGGGAATGAGCTATAAGTGTGTGTGTGTGTGTGTGTGTGTGTGTGTGTGTCCACCTGTTCACAGAGAGCACATCAGCACTCAACTCAACTGCTTTTCTGAACACACACTATAACTGGCTTTGGGTTTAATAGTCAAACCAAAGAACAGACACAACAAACACACAAGTGCAATCACAAGACAAAAGAAGGACCAAACCACCAAACACAAACAAAACCCGACCAAAAACCAAATAACAAACTAAAACAAAAAGCAAACCATGAAACTAAGCCACAACACCAACCATAAAACCAAACTGCAAACCACAAAAATCATCACCAAAACAAACTAAACTAAAGCAAACACACACCACAAGATATCCAAAATGCATTTACAAATGATCAAATACACAAAACCCAACATAGAAAACACACAAACACAACCAAACATGTCACAACTAAATGGAAACTACTCACAAACACAAGCCACAAAACAAATAAAGAACAGTCAGCTCTGTCCCCATCAGCCCCGTTACTGATATACATCATGTTTAGTAACAGAGTCAGCTGTTCCTGATCACAGGTCAGCATTATTTACATTAATAATGGACTCAGTTTACTGTAATCAAACATCTGTTGTACATCACTCCAGTTTAAGGAAAATAAATAGAAAATGCTTGTACCCGCAACTCTGGGAGGACTCGTATATATTTAAAGAAGCAAGCAAACGGGCAGCGACTGTGCTGAAGACAGTGCCGTATTCATGAGGTGTGTTTATTACTCTACAGTCTTGTTGGAGAGCTCCAGATTCAGCCATCGCTGCTCTGATCTGGGAACAGTGTGTGCCGCAGCCGACTGACGCCCACTGGATGTTTTGTCTACAGTAAACACACTGACACAAGGAAATCCAGACTGAAGGAGACGCTCCATTACACACAGAACCACAAACACACACACACACACACACACAGAACCACAAACACACGTACACACTCTTACACACACACACACACACACACACTCACACACACACACACACACACGCGCACACACACACTCTCACACACACACACACACACACACACACAAACACACACACCAGAACACAGACATTCACCACAGCTCAAACATGGAGAATCTGTACAAATGTTTCTGAAGTGTCTATTCTCATCAAATTAATTTGATCAAATATTATGAGTGAATAACTGCATTAATGTCTGGAATTGAGCTTTTAAATGATACTCTAGATAAGTTGAATTATATTTGAATTTCTAAACACAATAATTACAGAACAAGTGTACTGTGTTGTCTGATTTGCCCACAAGAAGTATAATAAGCTAATTAAAACTAGATCAAGCATCACTTTTTTAATTAAAAGACACTCACTTTTTAAAGTGCATAAACTTATTGATAAATATTAATAATATTAAATACACACACACACACACACACGTCAATTTTCGATGAATATTTCAGACGGCACTTAGAGGCTTTTGCACCTGAACTCTTGATATACATTTATTATTTTTTTTAAATATAATATAATATAATATAATATAATATAATATAATATAATATAATATAATATAATATAATATAATATAATATAATATTCTTAAATATTCTGTAACATCCATGTGAGAGAAATTAGGAGTCAAGTACCACTGAGTGCATCAATAACCCAAGTAAACAAGCTTCAGAGTATATGTATATCCATATAATATATGAATTTAGCATCGATATCGCAGTGCGCATCCACAAGACACATCATGAAGATCTGCAATGTTCAGTCTGCATTATAGCTCACCAGGAGCCACAGATTTGCATTTAACCTCTGTATTTATACTGAATTTATATGATTTGTGCAAAAATAATCTTTTGTCTTGTTTCTAGTCCAAATATCTTCATTTCAAAGCTCAAATGAGACCATTTTATTTCACTGGCAGATGATACAGCTTGTTTTAAGGAAAAACTCTTAATTTTGACTTCTGAAGTTGAAAACTTGAATATCTGCACTTGATCTAGGAGTTGTTCTAGTTGATATTCAGACTAG